GGAAAGAAAAAGGAAAGCAAAACAGTGAATAGCTTTGAGGGCTTCAGAAACAGATTTGAGCTTCGTCCTCCCACATGATATGACACACTCCATATTTAATGGTAGCTCATTCTGAAGGAGTTTGTAAAATAGGTTTCAAACGGTTCCACCATTCAGCGCACCTGGATTTACCATTCTAAAAAATGGCAGAAGGCAATGCAGTACACCAGTTTCAAAGACATTTTATTATCTCCACAAGAAAAGGTCTACACAGCCCACCCGTAACCCACTAAACCATTTATATACATGATAAACTGGTATTTAGGCTGTATCTTACTGCCTCAGCAGTATGCATTTGCCCAAAGAACTATTACTAGGCACCCAGTGATACTCAAAAACTCACCTCCAGCTGGAATTTCAGATGCTCTCTCATGCTCTCAAAGAGAAGAAAGCATACCCTGAGGGAGGTTGCATACAGATTGAGCCGTTCAACACTCAGTAGCTGAACAAGAAACAAAAAACCCCCCCCAAGAATTACAAAGACTAGTCATTATGTGCTATGAGTAGCAGTACTGTGACACTGCAGTCCCCTAAGATCCACACACGGCTTCCCACTGCAATGGTACTTCAGAAAACAATCCCTTATTTAACCTCCTGGTCTCACTTTCTGTGAACGAGGATGAACGTACTTACTTCCTTTCTGCTTACAAGGAGCACCGACTTTGTACTACAACTTGTTCTTTTGGTAAGCCCACAGGTCCTCTTAGTGGTGAAACAACTTGAGAGAAGACCTGCCTTTAAGATGCTCCTTCTGCAATTAAGAGCTGGTTATTCCAAAGGTCCTGCCTACTGCTAAGCTGGTAACCTGCAGACATAATTATCTCAGAACCTGCAATTATCTCAAACGTGCAACACAGGTTATCGATACATATTATCAAGACCACTGTTTCACTGCTGTAATTCAGAACTCTCACTGCAATGTAGCAGAGAGCTCATTTGAGGACTGAGACCTGCCAAACCTCAGCATACCAAATTCCAATAGACCGTTTAATCCAAATTAGTATCTAAATCCTCCGTGCCATATCCCATGCTAGCATAAGCCAGACTCACTTGAAACAGGTGCCGGCACAACTCTTCCTTCACAAGTCCCAAGAGGGACTGGCAGTTTGCAATGGGGGCTGACTCCAGAGCAACAGTCAGCAGCTGCAGCCCCATATGGATCATCACATCAGAGTTGTGGCGGTCATTAGGGTTTGTGAGTGAGATAAGAAAGCGGAACAGTTCTCTAATACATGGCAGTCCATAGGGAACCAGCGCTGCTCCTGAGGGAAAATAAGAGACATCACCACTCTAACAACTTTGCTCTTGGTTGCTGCTGGTGCCTAACAAGTAGTACAAATCAAATCTTTACAGACTAGCTGAAGAACAGGAGTTTATCACCCTCTTAGCCGAGGGTAGCACAGATTAGTGGAAAGCACAGAATCACAGAACAGCAAAGGCTGGAAGAGACCTCTGGAGATCTTCTAGTCCTACCCGCCCCCCCTGCTCAAGCAGGATCAGCTGTAGCAGGTTGCCCAGGACCATGTCCAGACAGCTTTTGAATATATCCAAGGATGGAAGTAGAACAGTAAAGAAGTTTTTCCTCATGTTCAGATAGAGCTTCCCGTGTTTCAGCTTGTGCCTGCTGTCTCTCGTCCTACTGCTGGGCTCCACTGAAAAGAGTCTGCCGCCATTCTCTTGACGTCCTCTCTTCGAATATTTAAATGCATTGATAAAATCTCCCCTCAGTATTCTCTCCTCCAGGCTGAACAGGCCCAGTTCTCTTAGCCTTTCCTCATGAGAGATGCTCCACTCCCTTCAGCATCTTAGTAGCCTTACATGCTGGACTCGCTCCAAGAGCTCCATCTCTCTCTTATACTGGGGAGCCCAGAACTGGACACAGTACTCCAGGGGAGGCCTCACCAGGGCTGAGGAGAGGGGCAGGATCACCTCCCTCCACCTGCTGGCAACACTCTGCCAGCACAGCCCAGGATACCAATGGCTTGCTTTGCCATGCTGGCTCATGGTTAACTTGTTGCCCACCAGGACTCCCAGGTCCTTCTCTGCAGAGCTGCTTTCCAGCAAGTCAGCCCCCAGCCTGTTCTGGTGCACAGAGTTATTCCTCCCTAGGTGCAAGACTCTGCACTTCCCTTTATTGAACTTCATGAAGTTCCTCTCTGCCCATCTCTCCAGCCTGTCCAGGTCCTTCTGAATGGCAGCACAGACCTCTGGGGTATCAGCCACTCCTCCCAGTTTTGTATCACCAGCACACTTGCTAGAGGATGCACTCTATCCCTTCATCCAGGTCACTGATGAATACATTGAACAAGACTGGACCCAGGACTGACCCCTGGGGGACACCGCTAGCTACAGGCCTCCAACTAGATTTTGCATCACTGATTACAACCCTCTGAGCTCTGCCATACAGCCAGTTCAGCAGAAAGGACTTAAGTAATATTGCCCACCTCTCACCTTCTTTTTGGGAAGACTGGGTAAAACGTACTCCACGAGGATTTACATAATCCATGTCATGAACAGAGGCAGAGTCAGAATGTTCTGCTATGGATGTGCACTCCTCTAGTACCTCAGGGATAGATTCGACAGAGGCTGACTGGATCTTCTCCTCCCTCAGACTTTCACTCTTCATTGATAACAGTCATTTGAGAAGGAAAAAAAGAAAAAGCAAAGTAAGTGTTAACAGGCACTAGACAAGCTAAAAAAAAATAAGATTTATTCACTCACTGTTCATTCAGAGCTATCAAAAATGTACTGTTCACTCATGGGAGAGGAGTAGGAAAAAAAAATTTAAGATAAAAGGACATCTCTAGCTAATCTGTAGCCCTCTCTGTCCTTTCACTTCCATCTAGTTTTTTTTTTTTTTTTTTTTTAATTTCACCTTAGTCTTGGTTGTTAGGCTTTAAAGACTTTACTTGGAAGATGCCCCTATAACCTAACCAGTTCTTACTGCCCATTAGGTTAGGATTTGGCTTATTTTTCAGTTTTAAACGCTATATAATTTCAATACACTATTTCTACCTATCTGCCCTTAAATCACCTCAAAACAATCCTCCCTCCTCCTTAGCGTTTGTACCATTCATAATATCTGCAGTTCTGAAAGGTTCTCTGTGGTTCTAATCAACTCTCTCAGCAATGTGTGTTGCAGGAGAACTGGAGATAACAAGGAGAAAAAAAATACTGACATGGGCCTTGGTTCAGGTTTGTTGTACTTCACAGCAACACCTATGCACATGTACAGGCACCAAAACCCGATTTTCCACAAATTCAAGAAAAATTGTTCAGCACAGATAAGTGAGTTCTCCTACAGATTTCACCCCTAACAGTTTCTCTTTTAATTAAGGCAGAAGATATTGACAGAAGTATAATGAGATATGACATGCATTGTTGGGCTGTGCAGTTATCTTTTCTGTGCCAACGGGGATGGTCTTGAGAAAAAACACAGAATGCATGTTTGTGAATTTACAGATCACGTAGAGTGAAGGAGATTTTATTCTGACTCTCAGCCTTGGAATGTAGTATAAACAGTATGACCAGAGAGAGAGAGAGAGAAAATAAATATGGTAAACCAACAATCAGTTAGGTTGGGAGTTGGAACTTTTCTCCTCAAGTTATCTACCTACCTGGA